ATGAAATATGGCATACAATCACATATTTTTCAGCTCTAAAAGGACATGCAAGATGGTCCCAAATCATGCAAACACCTCATACAATGCATGCTAGATGGCCCAAATATCGAAACTAGTGAAGTGGATTACACTATAAGCATGCAAAGCAATACTCAAATGGCCAAATCAGCCCCAAACAGTCCCTATGTAGGCCAAAACAGTAGCAAATATGGACTAAAATGATGGCTCGCAAAGCATGGAAATGAACCTCATGCAGTAGTCCAAAAATGAGGTATTCATGCATAACTCTCAAACACATTTAAAGAGTGGAAAACATGAGAATATGGCATACATATAAGCTCTGAAATATGATTCACAATGATGCCAAAACACGAAAACACCTCAAAATACACATGCAATAGGCTTCAAAACTCAAAGCTAGGCAAGGGTATTGAATTACAACCATACATAGCAAACATCATTCGACCATAAGGCCCAAAAACAGAGCTAAGGTAGTCCAAAACATGCACAAAATCAATTTAAGACATGGCCAAAAAGTGCTAGAATCAGAGGCCAAAATAGCATGCAATGTAAGCTAGTAAAGAGGATTTGCACTACAAACATGTGAGGCAATCAAGAGGCCACTAAACCAGCAAAATTCAAAGGTATGACATGCCAAATAAAGCCCAAAAACCCACTGAAACATGGTTAATGCATGCAAGAATGAGATGCTCCTTTGATATGCTATGAAGAGGGTTACTCTACACATGCAAGATGGACATCCAATATGGAAAAACAAGATCTAGACAGAGCCTATGTAGGTCCTAAAACTCATCAAAAAATGCTTGAAACATGGCTTGGAAGCATGCAAATAAGGGCTCCTTTGTAAGGCCAAAAATGCTAGAAAACAAAATAAGGAGAGAGAGGGTCACCCCTTTCTAATTTTGGCACTCAAAACAGCATGCTAGCCACTGAAAATTCACTGGATTTCAGTGGCTAAAAGGCCAAACAAAGGCCAATACACATGCTCTAAGGCATGGCTCAAAACAAGGTAAAATGAAGCATGCAAGGGGGTAGATGACCCCCAACGGAAAAATGATCTTAAACAAACATGTTAAAAGCCTCAAAATAAGACTTTTTTTAGTTTACACCAAATCTCAAATATGCTTGCAAGTATGGCTAAAAGATGGAGCAAAATAAAGCTTAAAAGAGGGAATAGTGTGTTACCCTTATAGCTTCAACAAAACCAGCAGCTTCTTGGACCAAAAACCAACTCTTTGAGACCTCTCAAGACCCTCCAAGAACCTTAGATCAATGGTGGAGGTGTGTGGCTATGAGGTGTGGTGTTAAAGGCCAAGAACAAATACCCTTTCTAAGCCTAGAATGTAGATATATAGAGAGATATATGTGCTTTTCCTTAGACAAATTTTTTTTCAACCTCTCTAAAGGAGAGGGAGGCCCTCTCTTATAGAGAAACAAGAGGGTTCAAGCTTCTTGGAGAAGTTAAAATAAGGGTTCAAAAGGTTCAAGCTTCCTCAAGAAGCTTAAATGAAGGTTCTAAAGGTTCAAGCTTCTTCAAGAAGCTAAAACGAAGGTTCAAAAGGTTCAAGCTCTCCAAAAACCATGCCAAACGGAGAAAGTTAAGCGGTCCCAAACCGAAGCGCACGGCCGACGGCTCCGAAAATCGAAAATCGAAAACTGGTCTCCAAACGGGAACAGGTCTACGACCACGAAAAGTAGCCTACGGCCACTGAGAGATGGTCTACGAGACCTCTCCCTCCTTTCGAGAAGAGAAAACAGAACCTGGTTCGCAAATCTAGGCAAAGCAGAAAAGAGTCCCGAGGTCCGAAGGCAAGGCTCTCAGCCGAGACTCTGTAACCTCAGAACGAGCACAACATGCGTCATCACCGAGCGCTCAATCGATGAAGTCTGAGTCTTAAGGTCGGTCAAAAATGGGGTGTCTACAATAATAAATAACTAGTGAGCGGAGGCCCAATGAATAATAACAGAGTAAAGGGGTAAATGAATGATGTCCCATAGCTATGTTTGAAACCAAAGTTCACATTCATATTCACATTCTGAACATGTATACAAAAATCAGAGATTCATACTTAATCATACATAGTGCATCCACTAGCACTGATAGAACACATACAGAGAATCTTAAATCGTACTTGTCAGTTCTATAGAAGAACCTCTAACCGGGTAAGAATAACTTGTCAGTTCCATGAAGAAACCTCTGGACTGGGAACTTGTAAATTTGTCAGTTCGTCCTTGGAACCTCCAACCGGGTACAGATAGCTTGTCAGTTCCATAAGGAACCTCCGGTACCGGGAACTTGTATCATACTTGCATCATAGCATAATGTCACTTGTAACATACTTGAAACATGGCATAATGTCATAAATGCTTGTTATTGATGGACGATCATTCATAGTATAAAACATGGCATTTCATTCAATAGATCTTATTTCATATACCGAAAATAATTTAACTTGAACATAGCTTTACTAAGTTATTACTCATAGATAACAGATACTGCAAGTAGACAATTCAACTTCCTTGTGGCGCATGACCTACATAGTTACAAAACGAACGGATACTGAATTACACACCCGGAAATTATAACTCAGTTCCCTCTTGTTTTGGTGTGTTTCTTCTTCATTAACCTCATTATGGTTCCTTAATCATGGCCTAGGAACGCTTAGGATGGAATGAGGATGCAAAAATGTACTTGGAAACATTTTTCAAAACTTACTAAAAACAGGGTCCACGCTCGAGCATGGCTTTCCTTGCTCAAGCGAACATATAAAAGGTGAGTGTCACAATCCAAACTCGCCCCTATAGGTTTTCGGCCGTAACCGGCCAGTAGTCCGTGACTACTGAAGGCCTAACTGAGTAGAGCAAATAAACGGGGCTAGCAGAAGCTATTATGTGAGAAAACGAAACGTCCAATGAGCTGTGAATTTGCACGAAACAAAGACAATGATATATAAATATTCACACTTGTATATATATACAGAAGTACAACATGCTGTTACGAGTTTGTTCACAAAGGCAACCACAAAATGGAAATGTTGCTCCCATTAACAACAACTTCTATACTAATGTCAATCGACCGAAACACAAGAACGAAGTTCAAAAGGGAGAACACTGGCCACAACAACACCTAGAAAGATGGAAACCTCGCCGTGAGGCACAGTGGACAACTTGACAAAACCGGAGCAAGACCGACGCCACTACGCCTTTTCCTGAGCTGGATCACATACATGGTATACCAAAATGTGAGCTAGGCCCAGTGAATAACAACTGAGTAACAAGATTATAAATGATAATTATAACATAAAATGACATGCTGGCTGAGCAGTTTCGTATAATACTTAAGAAGCATAACATTTCGCGTAGTACAATCAAAAACAATAAATTCAAGCGGTCCAAAAGACCGAGCAGACAGTCACGGGGACCGGACAGGCAGTCAAGAAGACTGAACAGACGGTCATAAAGACCGAAGAACAGCTATGGTAGCTATTGCTACATTAAACAGGAGTCCCATGAAATGGAACTAGCTGAACTGTAATCGCATGAAGAGGTGCCAAAGTTGTCGTAGTACTAATGGAAATTGAGATAGGATAATCATTCATTCACATAAAAGACATATCAGACTAACATATAAATTGAAGTAGAGGAAAGGTAATTTAAATCATATATATATTCGCAGCAGTGTTACTCACAGTCCGTTTCGTGTTGTCGACGACTGGAATGAGGCGTTTGACCTACACAAATAGATATAAGCATTGTCCATTTAATGTATCGAACACTCAATGAATTAGTTCCATAACCTAAGGATGCATGGGTTAAAATGTAAAGCACACTTGTTAAGCGTTCATGTAATGCAATCGGACATCATATATGAGCGTAAAACACGCTAACGAAGACTCGAGAATGGAGTAAACGACCCAGAAAAGTGAACCCGGGGCACCCCAACAGCCGCACGTGCTGAGCTCCCTGGCCGCACGTGCAGGACTCTCTCTGCCCATGCATCCCTACGTGCTTTTTAGACAAAAAGCTCCCCAGTCCTCCTCTGTGATCCGCACGTGCAGGCCAATGCACTCCCACACGTGCGGGCTTCCTTGCCGCACGTGCGGTTCTGGGTGTACCATAACCGAATTTTGCCCTGTTTTTTGGTACTCTAAATCCCCAAGAATCAAACCCAAAACCAACCAAATGAAGGCCACAAATTAATGAACATAATGTATAAACAAGATTCAAACTCAAATTATGGATTAAATTTAGCTTGAATTCCTCAACTTCATTAACACCATCATAAATAAAAGAAACAAAGATTTATGCTTATGTTAATTCTATGCTTCTACAAACCATGGAAATTTAGGGAAAACCATGCAAAATCATGTAGATGAGCTTAAGTGATGGTATGAGGACAAGGAAGTTGAAGAGTTCCTCTTGTTAGGATTACAACATGACTTATACTACCCAACTCCTCACTCTCACCCTCAACCTTATGGGTTCCACTAGAATTTCATCTTCATGCAAGAAATTAGGGAGAGTCCTTACCTTGATGAGTTGATCTAGTGAGGTTGTTTTCAAGCTCTCTTCCCTTCTCCTTCTTTCCTCGTCTCCTCTATCCTCCTCTCAAACTCTAGCTCTCATATCCTTCCTCTTATTGAGTTCAAGATATTTATATATAAAACATCCCTAGTCATCAACTTAGATTAATTACATAAGAGTCACTTTAGTTTAAATTATTGATTAAATTCACTATCACCCATCTTAATTTAAGGTGCAATACCCCACTCACTTAGTTCATTAACTAATTCTATAACTCTAGCGATTTAACGAATCAGACAGGTCTTTTTACAAAGGAACATATCTGTTAACAGACACAAGGCTTATAAATATACATATAAGGCTCGAACAAATGCATGATCCAGATTAAGCATAAAAGTAATCGTAAAAACAACAGCTAAGGAGAAAGGCAGGTTAGGGTGTTTGGTCCTCCAAACTTAAGTACCTTCTTCAGCAAAGAGTACAAGGTCTAACGAAAACATTTCAGGGTACTTTGCTTCCATATCCTCTTCTCTTTCCCAGGTTGCATGCCAGTCCACCTTTACTAACGGAATTTCTTTATTTCTCAACTTTTTGATTCGACAACTGACAATCTGGAGAGGTTGTTCCGCATACGTATAATCATCATTTATAGGTACTTGAGTAGGTTCAACAATTTGCTGAGGGTCTAGGAGAGATTCTCTTAACATAGCAATATGAAAAATGTTATGCATGTGTTCTATATCTGGAGGTAGGGCTATTCAGTACGCTACTAGACTCAGTTTCTCAATAATCTCATAGGGTCCGATGTATCGAGGTGCTAACTTGCCCTTGACCCCGAAGAAAGTATGTCCCTTCATTGGTGTAACCTTAATAAAGACTTGGTTGCCCACTTCATATTCTCTCTCCCGTCTATGCACATCCGCATAGCTTTTCTGTCGGCTTTGAGCAGTTTTTAACCATTGTCGAATTAAGTTTACTTTCCCAATGGTCTCTTGCACAAGTTCAAGCCCCAATAATGGTCTATCTCCAACTTCAACCTGACAGATCGGTGACCGACATTTCCGGCCGTACAAAGCCTCGTAGGGTACCATGTCAATGCTCGAGTAATAATTGTTGTTGTATGCAAACTCAACCAAAGGCAAATGTGTTTCCCAATTTCCTTGGAAGTCCAACACACACATACGTAACATATCCTCAAGCGTCTAAATTGTCCTCTCCGATTGGTTATCTGTTTGGGGATGGTATGCACTGCTCAATCTTAACTCCGTCTCCAGTGCCTTTTGCAAACTTTGCCAAAACCTCGAAGTAAACTTCGGATCTCTGTTTGATACGATAGATACAAGGACTCCATACAATTTCACAATTTCATTCGCATACAAGGTAGCCAACTTATCTACAGCATATGTCGCCTTAACAGGTAGAATATGAGCGAATTTTGTCAATCGATCTACAATTACCCAAATAGAATCCATACCTCTGTTGGAGCGAGGAAACCCAACCACGAAATCCATTGTGATATGTTCCCATTTCCACTCTGGTATAGGCAGTGGTTGGAGCAATCCTGCGGGTCACTGATGCTCCGCCTTAACTTGTTGACATTACAAACACTTAGATACGAATTCTGCGATTTCCCTTTTGATTCCCGGCCACCAAAAATTTTTATTTAGGTCTTGATACATTTTCGTATTTCTCGGATGAATAGAGAATTTAGAATTGTGGGCTTCTTGAAGAGTTTGTTTCTTCACTTCACTGCCATTAGGGACACATAACCGTCCTTGAAACTTGAGTATGTCATCCTTAAAACTGAATCCCGGTCTAGGTTTGGACTCTCATTCATCTATTATTTTCTTGAGAAACTCATCTTGCAACTGTTTCTTTTTTACCTCTTTAACTAGTAACGGCTCACACACTACTGCTTCCTGTCTGGTGAGTAAACAGGCCAAGTTCCCCACGGATTTTTGACTAAGGGCATCGGCCACTGTGTTAGCTTTCCCCGAATGATACATAATTTGCAAATCGTAGTCCTTGATTAGTTCTAACCATCTTCGCTGTCTTATGTTGAGCCCTTTCTGAGTAAAGAAATATTTTAGACTCTTATGATCCATATACACTTCATACATAGCCCCATACAAATAGTGGCGCCAAATTATCAATGCAAAGATCACTGCAGCCAATTCTAGGTCATGAGTTAGGTAACTTTTTTCATGCGGTCTTAGCTGACGGAAAGCGTAGGCAATTACTCTTCCATTTTGCATCAACAAGCACCCCAAACCTTTATAAGAAGCATCACTATAAATGGTAAAACCATCTGTACCAGAGGGTAAGGTGAGGATCGGCGCCGTCACAAATCTTATCTTTAACTCCTGGAAAGCGGTCTCTCTTTGGTCAGTCCACTCAAATGATACGCTCTTTTGTGTTAATTGATTGAGTGGCAGGGCAATCTTGGAGAAGTCCTTCACAAATCGGTGATAGTATCCAGCTAGGCCCAAGAAACTGTGAACTTCAGTTACATTTGTTGGTCTTGGCCAATTAACAACAACCTCAACCTTTTGTGGATCAACAGAGATGCCATATTTCGTTATCACTTGTCCTAGAAAATGTCACACTATCTAGCCAAAATTCACATTTCGACAACTTAGCATACAATTTCTTCTCCCTCAACATTTGAAGAGTAAGCCTCAAATGACGTTCATGTTCTTCCTTGCTCTTAGAATAGACCAAAATGTCATCGATAAAGACCACAATGAAGTCATCAAGAAATAGCTTAAAAACTTTGTTCATTAAATCCATAAAAGCAACTGGTGCATTAGTAACTCCGAAAGGCATAACGAGGAACTTATAGTGACCATATCTAGTTCGAAAAGTGGTCTTCTCCACATCCTCAACTTTAACTTTTAGTTGGTGATATCCAGACTGTAGGTCAATTTTAGAAAATACTTAAGCCCCTTGTAGCTGGTCGAATAAATTGTCAATACGTGGCAACGGGTATTTATTTTTGATTGTCATCTTATTCAATTCCCGGTAGTCAATACAGAGTCTTAAAGTTCCATTATTCTTTTTGAAAAATAGCACTGGAGCACTCTATGGGGAAACACTAGGCCTGATAAATTTCTTAGTTAGCAATTCTTGTAACTGAGTTTTCAACTCTTTTAATTCAGTAGTTGACATCTGATATGGGGTCTTAGAAATTGGTGGGGTGCCGGGGACTATCTCAATGGTAAACTCGATTTCTCTATCAATTAAATTCCCCGGCAAATCATCTGGAATCACATTTGGAAATTCCTTTACCATAGGAATATTACTCACATCTGGTTTAGTAGTAGTTGACCCTGTTAGTACCGAACATAGGAATCCCATGCACCCTTTATTAATCAGCGTATTTGCTTTCATAGAGGAAATTAAATATGGAGGAGATATAACACTAGTCCTCTTGAATGTAAGTTTGGACCCTTCAAGTAAATGAAATACAACTTGTTTGGTTGAGCAATCAATTATAGCGCAATATTTCGCTAGCCAATCCATTCCCGATATAGCATCAAAACATGCAATGTCTGAAGGTAACAAATCCACATGCAAATTCACGTCTTCAATGATAATCTCATATGTAGGATACATAGATGTATAGATCATAGTTTCCCCTGTCGGAGAGGTGACAGCTAAGACGTAATTCAGTGGTTCCAAAGGCCTAAATAATTTTGGAGCAAAAGCATAGGATACAAAAGAATGTGTAGATCCCGAATCAATCAACACATGAGTATTCTGAGAACAGATAGGGAGAATACCTGACATAACCGTTTCTGTAGCCTGTACATCACCCAGTACCAATGCAAAAACCCGTCCTTGCTTTAGAGTTTCTTTCCCCGTAGTTGCTTTCGAATTTCCCTTTGGTGCTGACACTATTGTAGTTGAATTAGCCCTCGACTGGCTTGTGCCTTGAGAAACCAAAGGACAGTCTTTAATCATATGGCCTGTTTTTCCACACCGGAAGCATGCACCAGAAATCCTACAACAAACTCCCTTGTGTCTTTTTCCACACTCCGAGCAGATGGGTGTGTCATTCCCCTAACTTGAGTTAGTGAAGGATCTTGTATTCTATCTCTTGTTTGGTCGAGAATTGAAGTTGCTTCAACCCTTTTTAAAATTAGATCCTGGCCTCTTCCCTTTCCATTCGACCACTGGTGCCTTTGCTTGTCTTAGTGCGGCTACATTCGCCTCTACTATGATGGATCTATCTAAGACATTAACATATTTTTCTAATTTGAGTACATTAACTCGATCCAGAACTTCAACATTCAAACCACCTTCAAACTTCTAGCTTTCTTATACTCAGTGTCTACTATATGTGGCGCATAGCGCGCAAGCTCGGTGAACTTAGCTTCATACTCCACTACTGTCATTGTACCTTGCTTCAGCTGCTCAAATTTTGTCATCTTACAGTCTCTCACACACTGTGGAAAATACTTTTCATAGAAACCTTCTTTAAACTATACCCAAGCCATGGTAGTCTGCTGATTCCGAACAGGCATCCACCATCTTCTCGCTTCTTCTTGCAAGACGAAAGTTGCTAGCAAAACTTTTTGTTCTTCAGTACATGGAAATACCTCAAACAACTTTTCATTCTCCAAAATCCAGGTTTCAACTTTCAACAATTCCAAGCCTCCTGGAAAAGTGGGCGGTTTTAACTTATTGAACTTCTGTGTCAAAGCAATAATATCATCATTGTTGGGTGGCTCTACTAGAACTGGTGGAGGAGGTGGAGGTGGGAAGGGTTATCTCTGTTGTTGTCTTAGTGCTTCTGTCAACAACTCCACCATTCATTCTAATCGATCCATCATTGTGTCAGAAGACTCGGGTGTCTCTGCAGGTCTTGTGTTTTCCATCGGCTAGCCACATAAATAGAAGGATAATAAACATAGGACATATTGAGTTTATATATGCATGATCTCCACAAAGACTTAATAGATACACCACACACACAAGCATGCAGATAATATGCCCTAATCTCTTCTCTAGGACGTCCTATGGCTCATTTGGACGCGTGTGTGCGATACAACTTGTGCTCTGATACCACTCTGTCACAACCCAAACTCGCCCCTACAGGTTTGGGGCCGTAACCGGCCAGTAGTCCATGACTGCCGAAGGCTTAACTGAGTAAAGAAAATAAACGGGGCTAGCGAAAGCTATTATGCGAGAAAATGAAACGTCCAATGAGCTATGAATTTACATGAAACAAAGACAATGCTATATAAATATTCACACTTGTATGTATATACAGAAGTACAACATGCTTTTACGAGTTTGTTCACAAAGGCAACCAAAAAGGAAATGTTACTCCCATTGACAACAACTTCTATACTAATGTGAACCGATCGAAACACAAGAACGAAGTTCAAAAGGGAGAGCACTGGCCATAACAACACCTAGAAAGATGGAAACTGCGTCGTGAGGCACAGTGAACAACTTGATAAAACTGGAGCAAAACTGACGCCACTACGCCTTTTCCTGAGCTGGATCACCTACATCGTATACCAAAATGTGAGCTAGGCCTAGTGAATAATAATTGAGTAACAAGATTATAAATGATAATTATAACATAAAATGAGACGCAGGCTGAGCAGTTTCATATAATACTTAAGAAGCATAACATTTCGCGTAGTACAATCAAAAGCAGTAAATTCAGGCGGGCCAAAAGCCCGAACAAACGGCCACGGGGATCGGACAGGCAGTCAAGAAGACCGAACATACGATCATAAAGACCGAAAACAGCTATGGTAGCTATTGCTACATTAAATAGGAGTCCCACGAAATGAAACTAGCTGAACTGTAATCACATGAAAAGGTGCCAAAGTTATCGTAGTACTAATGGAAATTAAGATAGGATAATCATTCATTCACATGAAAGACATATCAGACTAACATATAAATTGAAGTAGAGAAAAGATAATTTAAATCATATATATATTCTCAACAGTGTTACTCACAGTCCGTTTCGTGTTGCCGACGACTGGAATGAGGCGTTTGACCTACACAAATAGATTTAAGCATTGTCTATTTAATGTATCGAACACTCAACGAATTAGTTCCACAACCT